CGGGAGAGTATTATCTAACAAGTACTATTAGTGTGAATGTTATCCAAAAGCGTCTGACATCAGCATTGTTCAACGGCGTTGTAGTACAGTTGTATCTGCGATTACAAAGTCTCTACTACAACGAGCATTACGAAAGTGACAATGATTAATCGTTATCATTAATAAAAAAGTGGCAACGTGTGTTCCTATCATCACAATATATATATATATATATATATATATATATATATATATATATATATATATATAAAAAGAGAGATAGATAGATAGATAGATAGATAGTAATGGTAATTCCAAATCTGTTGGTATATAATCCAGGACAAGGATCCTAGCAATGTAAAAATATTAAAACTGATCCACAAAAAGAGCTCAATGTTAGTATTATTACAGAGCAAATAATTAATGAACAATACAATCCAAACGTAATGAACATTTATTCATACATATACGGCGGGTAACAGCAAAATTGTCAAAATTGTGTAACAGCAAAACCACTCAATTGTTAGATTAAGCTCTGAACCGTTGTATCTTAGAAATGATTAAAGATATCTTACTGGAATTCCCCGTAGTTTTTTAAAAACACTATCGGTCTCTACTCTGAGCAATAATAATGTATAATTACTCTCCAAGCTTAACAGAAGATTCGTGATGAAATCGATCATAAAATGACATGTTCAACATTATTCAAACATAGTTAAGGATCGGAAGTCCACGAAGGATTGAAGTTCGAATATATATATATATATATATATATATATATATATATATATATATTTCAGGATTCTTTTCCAACTTATTCAAGATGATCTTCACCCTCTCTAACGTTCTAATTTTCTCCCGTAGAGTAACAATGTGCCCCACACATTTTATGTATGATTTCATTTTCAAGTTATTTTCACTGGTCTTTGGAGTACCATAGCTAAAATTCCTCTCTCACGTGCCAAACATCTTCTGAATTGAGTTGGATCTTTTCTAATTGATCTCTTTAGATCTAAGCTGAAATGTTGATCCCTCTACCTCTTATGACCTCCTGACTCAGTTTTCCTCTCTACTGTTCACTCTTTTTCAAACTTATTCACCGTTCTCTTGATAGTTCTTGAATGGATTTTGAAGATGGAAACCAGAGTATGAATGATGGTAATATTACTAAAGGCCTAAATAATCTTTTACCATTGCTCAGTTTTAATCTGCTCCTTCTTTAGCTGAATAACCCAAAGCCTATATAAAACTTCTTGCGATAAATGGTGTCAAGATGGCTGAACGTCATATCAGAAAACATGAAAAAAAATCAATTCGTTTAGTGCTTCGTAAAGATATGAAACATTTTGTGGAGTGGATAATTATGCCGTTACACGATTTGGACAATTTTGCTATTACACCCTATATATATATATATATATATATATATATATATATATATATATATATATATATATAGTGTGTGTGTTCTTGAATGTATGTGTGTGTTTTCTACACTACAAATGACAAACTGAGAGAATAAAGCCAATATCCAATACATACGTCCAGTAACAAATTGAGAAAATATAGACAACACGCAATATATACACTACAATGAAAAATTGAGACAATATCGAATATATACACCCCAATAACAAATTGAGACAATAAAGACAATATCCAATATATACACTACAATGACAAATTGACACAACATGGCAATATCCATTATATACACTTCAATGTTAAATTTAGACAATGAAGACAATACCTAAAATACACTTATTTCATGCTCACAAATTTATACCCCATTTGCGTATACATAATTATGAATGATCACTAGAAAGAAATTCATGTTGCAACATTAAGAACTGGTCTACTTTTTTAGCTGGGGATATGTTATCTTAATATATTATTATATGATATCAGGCGAATAGCTTTTACAAGTAATCTTATTAATTAATCTGGGATTTTGTGTCCCCTTTTAGTATAAGAGACTAGGATTTTGTCCCCTGGATTTTTCTCAGATTCTCAACAGTGAAAAAATTCTTCTAGAATCTAAGTAAAGTATTAAAACGTAGAAACGTTTTATTAGAAGCAAAGAAAAGTGTTTTCATAGATCGAAAATAACAACTGTCTAAAGATGTCCTCTGCGTAAAACGCGGTTTTCTGATAATAACGCATCCTACGAGATTGTTCGAGATTTTCAAATCAGCCACTGACTGAGTGCGGATAATGAGACATAGAGTTAACAATTCAATCAAGCGAAATGTAACGGCTAAGCATAACCCTAACGACGCTTAGTGTCAAATCGATATAACATATTCAGGAAACAAGTGAAGTCTAAAAGAATTGATTACAATGCTGGAAGACATTAACAACTGACAATTAGAATATGATATTTCACCATTGTTATAACCCAACGTGTAAGTGTTGTTTGGGAGTTGCAACTTTGTAAATCAACCATTATCGTATTTTACATCAAATTTAATGCCTTTTCTACTATACGCCATTTCCCTTCTGGACGTTGACTATCATGTCT